TACTGAGAACCTTTATATCTTTTGAGCTTTGTATCGTCTGGTGAGATCATGAGAAAAAAGAGACAAGCCAGCACCTCAACAAATATGACCCAGTAATCCTCCAAAACCCAGAATGCACCAAGCGTACAGAATCGAAAATTATGCACAGACAGAAATTCATTTGCTTATTAGGCTCTTCAACCATATAACGGTTCAGCAGTTGCCGAATGGCTAAAACAATGGACAAATTAAATGCGCCATTTTTCTTCTCGTTCGGAAATTTTTGCTAACTTCATTTGTCACCGGACGATTTATACTCTAAGGAGTGTCGGGCAAAGACTTCTTTAGTACGCTACAAAATATCTTCCTCATTTTCACTCAACTTGGCAAATGTTATTGGGGGATGATAATATGCAACAACTAAAACCATCTCTATTCTGCAATGAATAGTATCTGCGCATCATGTTAATTCGGCCAAGGAAATGAACGAAAAAACGACAAGGAGAAAATCATAGAAAATCCTTTTCTCTCTCTATTTGAAACTCGCATTTTTCAGATTATCTCAAGGTAGAAGCTTAATCTCATTTTCGAGGCAGTACTCAAACATCGCTGGGCAGATGTAGCAAAAGCGATTCAGAAAAGATATAAAATATTGCTTAGGACGTTGATGAATTCACGCAACCATACAGAAATTAGGATAGAGAAAACGTCATAATTGCACATTCATAGATACGTGTTCTTTGGATGTAACCACTTAATACAAAAATAACTGATGACAGACAGGTTTTCCAAAACAGCATATACTACAAGGACATACAGGGCTCTTTATACATGACATGCATTCCCACAGATTGTGGCAACATGCTGTGATAGTATGTTAGTCCAATCCATCTGCTTCTGCAGATGCCGAGCTAGCTGCAGCAGATGGTTTCTGCAAAGAAGAAATTGTAAAAATTGCTATTCTCTAACTTGCATATATCATCGATGAAGAAACAGAGATAAAACATAAAATATTTGAGGACATGGTTAGACACTTGCTTCTGTTCTTGTTCTTGTTCAAGAGAAATTTTTAATCTTATTATTTACAATAAAGCTGAAAAGCTCTATTATGGCAAAAACAATAAAAAGAAGTTGAAAAGTGCAATTTGGTATGAAACACAGACAGCAAACAAGTTGAAGAAGTAAGCTTTAAAACATACAAAGCAGACAAACCTGCTGTGTCGATCCAAGTTTTGCAAGATTCTGTAGCAATTTTTGGAAAACTGGAGGAGGAAGCATGTTCTGGAATACTTGAAGTAATTGTTGTGGTTGCCCACAAACAGCCATGGCATTAGTGAGATGTTTTACACAGTTTTCGTGGTCACCTAAAACAGGAAAAAACTTTTATCCCTAAAGGAACACTGGGGCTAACATGTTTTGGCAACATGAGTTGGTGAGGGATTTGTATTGTTAGGGTGTGAGCTCTTCAACATACATTTCAAGTTAGTTCAGAACATTTTAACCACTGGGATTTCAAAATTAAAGTTAACATTCAGTAATGCAGGTCTTCACTTTACTCTGTTGAGCATACTGGCAAATAAATTAGGAATTTCTTTCTTTGAATTATGCACACCATATATGCACACATCTAAGGAAAATCCATAGCTATGTTTTTAGCATTCTTATCTGAGGTTACGTTGCAGGCCTTCATCATTGCCTAAGTCACTGAGCCCCCTCCCCCCTCTCACTGGAGACAAAGGGATATGGCTTTCACCTAATGTAAAGCTGCATAAAGAGTTATCATGATTTTAACAAAGCATTAAAATAATAAGAGCTTTTGTCAAAAAATTTATATCCATTTTTTGAGAAAATAGCACATAATATATATCAGCAAGATAAAGGTGGTAAGGCTTTCCATTGATCCAGTAGGGTGCTGCTTCTTCCAAAAGTTTGATACTCTGTCTCGAAAACATCAAAGTATATATCAAACAGCCAACATGGCTTATTAGATGCATTTGATGATGGTATTTACAACAGAGCTTGTAACCTTCTATCTTGAATCAAAAGTGACAATAAAACTACCCTAGATGCCTGAATTTTGGAAAAAAATCTACCAAAACAATTTTATTCCTATTTATCTCCATTTGAAAAGTTTTCCATCCAACCATGACAACATACAATTCTTAACATATTGGATTTTTGCACTTCAACATTTAAAAAAACCTAATGAATACAACAGTCAAAAAGGAGACCTTATTCTATCTATTGGTTTTGAGAATAAAAGAGCCAATTATCCCTACCACTGTTGATCATGTAATTTTCTACCCATTCCCTTGATCTGCTACCTATAATTCCTCAAAACTCAAAAGTATGTGAGAAACCAACAAAAATTTGTGAACAAGCATTTCTAATGGCTATTTATAATATCTGTTACCCTTTTTACCTTGCTCAAGCAGTTGTTCTCCAAGAGCAACTTGTTCCATGAAAAACTTTTGGACAGCCTCTTGGTCTTTCAAATCTGGTAAATTGCCCTATAAAGAAAGTCACAAACAATTGAAAAATTGGTTGTTTACATTTAAAACAAGTACAGCTCCTTGCTAAGTCAGTAATTGTTCAAGATGTCAGGGCAGGGAAGTAGATATTCCTCAAATATCTAAGCATGCACAATTTGAAAGGGGTTTTGTTTCTATGCAGTCAAAATTTATAAGTTCACAAAAATGCTTACTAATGCATGTTTTAATTAAGCATGTTTTGATTTGCAAAAATTGATGTGCTTTAATCAATGCAAATCAAGAATATTTAAGTGTTGAAGATAAAATTAATCATGAATTGAAATAAGGAAGCTGAGGTAATAATATTATTTAATTTATATTTTTGATAAAGATTTCAATGACAAACCAAAAGTGAGAAATAATAACAGCATAGGGTGCAGTTGAAAAATCAGTAATATTGTTCTCAAAAGGGTTATGTCCAGAAGGTTAATCACTCAATCATAGAGGCATCGGGGATTTCATTGAAGCCTGGAGCAGAAGATGAGCAAAAAGATGAGAATGCTGGGCTTGAAAAGGAAAAAAAGGAATAAGAGGACACTGACAATGACAATAACAGGATGAATAGAATCAAACATAATAAGACAGCTTCCAAACAAGCATTTTGGATGTCTAAAGATGTGAAAACCTTTTTGTAGTATGTAAAGAATACACTGCTGATATAGGAAAATACACTGTTGCAATTGAAGGTACACGGGTGTATGACTGTACCTAAAGATATTAAAGCTATCTATGAAAATAAAGTTAAAAGCAAAACTTTGTATGAAAAAACTACCAAAAAGAAAAAGCAACACAACTGAGGATAGTAACATAGGAAAAGACTTAACTCAATATATTTTGAGAAAAGTTTTTTGACAAAGACAGTCACATTAATCATTGCCCCTTTAAAAGTGTTTTTATTTATTCCAAGTTATAAGGTAGTAAGTAATTTTGAGATTCTGAATTATGTGTGATACTTGTAGGACAGTGTATGTCATCATACCTCATCTGAAAACATTTTTAAGCCCTGTTTCTAAAAATGAAATATTTGTCTAGTCATTGCAGCAACATTTTTTGCATGGAAATCTTCTTTTCTGACATGCAAACATAGTTTTTCCACAATTTGAAGTTTCAATGTTTACCTTTGGGACAACATGTGCTACCAAATTCAACTGTGGTCAGGGGAGAGGGGGGGGGGGGGGGGGTGAAACCTCCCCTGTAAAGCTAAACTACTATTTTGTCAAAAAACATCTGACATTGTCAGTTATATAACATGGTTGTCTATCAGTTTAGCAATCTCTTCTCTTTATTTTAAGGTAAGGTGCTTTAAAAATGCCTTCGACGTGAAGTCCACAAAAATCTTCAAGAAGAATGACTTATGAAACTCAGCAATAAATATATTTTAAGAGTTTACTCTAATTTTAAGATATATTTTAAGAGTAAATAAATTTTACTTCAGTTTTAATGTAGTTTTGTTATATTCAAATATATAAAATTTTAAAAATACTTTTTAAATATTTTTGTGGAAAGCTAACTTTCTTGCCCCTCTTATGCATTATCTTATCCAAGTCACTGGCCTAAAACCTCTCTATTTTGCTTTACTGCTGATTTACCTCTAGTGTGGAGGCTTCTGTTTCTTTTCGTTTTCTTTCTTCTCTCTCTGCAATAAAGAAATGTTGTTAAAGACATTTGTTTCAATGGTTTCTATTTCTCCCTATCAGCTTGACTTGAAGCAAGGGGGCATTCAAAATATAAACATGGTGGACAAAGTTGCCATAAGCAATAGAAACAAGAAAAGATTAAAAAAGTAGCATTTAAATGAAAGGTAGTGTATTAGATTTCAAACTGGCTTTTGTGCAACCAAGTCTGTACTTGTGAACTTTTTTGCACCAGATCTGCAGCAAGCAGGGACCTTTGTAACCCCCCCCCCCCTATTGGCAGTTTTGGTGAGAATCTGTGGTCAGCAAAGATTTCAGAATGCATAAAGTTATGCAACCAAAAATTCTTAGATTGCAGGAGGGCATTCTTAGATTTCATGAAGATCTGAAGTAAAAAAGACTTGTATTCAGAGAAGCAAATGCTAGTGGCATCAAGTTTCCATGATGAATTGTGCATTCATTGCATTCGGAAAAATATTGTTTGTACAATACATGCCTTTTATGAGAACCAGTAAATTTAAATTATTGGTTTCTTGTTCTTATTTTTCCAAATCTTTGAGGCTCGTTTGTTTTCAGGGTGTAAGCAATGAAATCACTAGCAATTATGCTCAAACAGCTTTTCTGTCTCAGTTGTCAACAAAATTAGAGTGTCATTCTCTTTTTGCCAAAAAGATTAAAAAATTCCCTAAATGGCAAACAACTCCTTGTTTTTTGAATGATTTTTTAACAAGGTTTCACAATTTTATTGAATTATAGCTGGTTCTTAATTTGTTCTAAACCTTTTTAGAACAATTAGACAATTTTGAGGCTCGTGCCCACGTTGTCGTTGTTGTTGACAAGAATGCTGTTAAGTCGATTAAAAAGAATGAAGTTACTTTGTTTCAATTTCTTCTTGAAATCTGGATCACTTCTTCTTTTATGATCAAAATAAAAGCAGTAGCCAATGAAGCCAAGGCCGCACACGCCAGCAACTACTCCCATCGGTTTCATCATCGTCATTTCTGCAGAGTTCGTGGATCATGAGAAGGCGAAAAACCTCGTTTCTCGTATTCAATGCAATGCCGAAAAGAGGCTGTTATTAAAAACATGGCGGCCCCCATGTAGTCAAAACACTGACTATCAACCTTTAGATTTTTTCACAATTAACGAGTCGGTGGATAGTTATAAAGAACTATTGCTCACAAGAAGAAAATTAGAAGTCAGATCTTTCATTGGAATTGAAGAGATGAATGAAAAGATGCAATCGGTAGGTGTTTTCGATAATAGTCCGATGTGCAACTTACTGAACATGTTTTGGCCTAAGCCTCAGGGTTCAGTGAATTTATTCATTGAAAAATCAAGATAATTACCTAAAATTTTATGGATCGTGCAACCATAACGAAATAAAAATCTATGAACTAGATTTATATGTAATTATTTGATTTTGAATTAATTTCAATTGTTAAAATAAATCACTGGCAGTTTGGTTTATTCATAAAGTTTAAAATTGAAACTGTTTATCCTGAGTTTCTTAGCTGAACTTCTGCTTTCCTATATTTCTGATATTGCCTCTGAATCAATCACATGTCAAGCTAAAACAGCAAGTTCAATAGAGCAATTTACCTTGTAAGGTGTGGATACAAAAGAAGAAGAAAAAAGTGGCTGACCTATGATTTTTTCACCTGTCGTTTTTAAATTGATGTACCTTCATAATTTAGAACTTTTTCAATAAGCTTTTCCCAGCAAAAGTGCTGATGGTTTATTTTTATGTGTCTTTTACTACCAATTCTATAGCAAAGTTGCTGAACATACCTTTTTGGCATGCCAGCTCTAACAATAGATGACAGATACTTATAGCAACATATTTTCTTGAAAAGAACAAAAAAACCAGGAATTTTCTCTGTTAGATCTACCTCAGTCTGTTAGATCTACCTCTGTTAGAATGGGAGTAGAGATTGCCTATTGCATTGTAATTCTCAAATTTTGCTGCTATTTTGAAAAAAAATTTAAACAATATCTTTCTTCTGAAACTGTAAATCAGCATATAACATGCATTCCTTATACACAGTCCTGGTAATATGAAATTTGTTGGCGTGCTGGTAATGGCATGCCTTGAAATGTTTAGGCCTGTGATGGCATGGGATCCATAAAGTGGCGATCTTACGATTTTTATGAAGACCTGATAGGCTTTTAAATGCCAAGTAGGTATTAGGGATGTACTGGATATCCGGTAGGCCGAATAATCCGTCGCCAAATCGCTGATTTTTTGAAAATCCGGTTCCGGCCGGATTTGTTTCCGAAATCCGGCCAGTTGCCGGATTTTCCAGAACTTTAATCATAACTAAGAAAATTTGGAAAACCAAGTCAGAATCCCTTCATACAGTGATTTAAAATGGATTTTCCAGAACTAAACAATATCGACGATAAAACAAGCGCCTTGAAAACAGATTTGAAATGAAAGTGCTCTTTATCACAAAACAGGAAGACTGGATGATATAATTCACAGATTTGGTCCAGGGTTGCCAGATCGGCTTTTTAGGCCAAATTTTTCATTTTTGGTTTTTAGATTTAGATTGCCTGAAAAAATTGTTTTTTGCTTACTACTTAAATTTAACCTTGTTTGCCTTTTCAGCAGACGTCCAAAATTAATAAGTAATTACTACATTCATAGAATAATTAGTAGATAACTACAAAGTGTTAACCAATTTCAAATTTTATCACCTAACCTAAATATTATCTTGATATTAGCAAAGGGTTTTGGAAAAAAGTAAGATTCTTATCAAAGTTAAGAAATTATCTAACAGGCACAAGCGTAGAAATATAACCAGTGCCTGCTTGATGGATTCTTGAGAGAGTTTTTGATTTGGCTCTTTATGAGCATTTTGGCTTAAATTGCTCACCAGTCTAGCCTTCGTTTGTAAATTCAATCTGGCAACCCTGATTAGGTCTCTTTGATCTTCTCGCTATACATTTTTTCGCAAAGTTGCTCAAAACTTTTTTCTACTGAAAATTCTATAAATGGTCAGATTATCCGGTAGAATCCGGCCGGATATTCCACGAAGAAATCCGGTAAATCCGGTTCCGGCCGGATTCTGAAAATCCTGATCCGGTACACCCCTACTAGGTATTTGAAAGGGTGTATCACTGTTTGAAAAAGTGTTTGAGGTTTTCGTATACAGCCAAATAATTTTTAAGAAATATAGAAGAAGTACCTTGAAAACAAAAATGATTTAACAATAAATTTATAAGTTTTTAGCCACTGTTGCCATTACTCCGTATTTGTGTGAAAACAGATGCTATTCAATTTTGAGTTCCATTGATACGCTCAAAAACCAGGCTTTCATGGGAAAGATATAGAAGGCATACTTGTCAGTGCAAGCCTGAAATGGCGTGTGACAGGCGTGTAGTGGCGTGTGACATTTTTTTCGCCAAAATTTACACATGGTTTTTCCAAAGACTTGAGCTAGGCTCAACACAAATATAAATCTTATTTAATACGTCAGCAAGAAACGGCACTACAAGTACAGAAACATGCTTGCCATGTCACAAACTGTTTTCATCAGCTTCAATAATGAATCCTTAGCAGAATAATCAAGGGCTTGGCCTTCATCTGGTTGTAATGGCCGTTTTGCTGCGTAAAGCCGTTATATAGTTTGTCATAGTTATATAGTTATATAGTTCGTAATATACGGGATTCATTATACCGGTAGAATTTGTACGGAGTTAGGCAGAATCAAGGGGGACAGACATTTTGTTGTCATATTTTAAAATATTTGTAATCGGTTTTCATAATATTGGGATTCCACTGTAAATTAGTCCTATGATTGTTAATTTTTTTATTTAAACCGTAATACTGACAAGGTGTTAAGCCTTTTTGAAGTGGCATTAAGTAATAGTACCAAGGAAGGATAAACCCATAAAAACAAAAGTTATGAATTTTACTCTCAAAATAAAAGCTCGTGTGTGATATTTTGCACTCTTGGAAAGCAGAAGGCGTGTGAACTGCCCGTGCAATGAAAAGCATGCCTCAGCAGTTTTAGGCGTGTGTAGAGGCATGCACATGCAATTTGTGCGCCTAATTGTACCAGGACTGTATTTAACATTGTAAGAACATATTTTTACAGCAAACTTCCTAATAGTTTTAAGAGCCAAAACCTGAAGAATCAGGGGTTGTGCATTATACCTGAACTTGTGAAACATGCCTATGCCACCGAGACAGCAATAAGACAGAATACAGTAAAGCAACTAGACTGTTTTCAAAATCCTAGTTTAAACCTTTTGCCAGTACTAAGTTGACCAACAAAATTTTATTTGGTTCCTTGCAAAATGTTGCATGCTGTTTTTACTGGATTATATTTCACCCTTATGATCAAATAACTATGGTTCATGAGAAAATGCAATGATTTATGGTATGTTGTTAAATAATTTGTAGAATTTTAGTCTTGTGTGTCTGCTTTCCTGATGTCATTTCATTCATATTTTAGATAAGTCAAGTTGTGGAAGGATGCAGGCTTCCAGTCAATATGTCAAGTTCTGATGACTGGCGTTAGTATGAAATTCATGTTTTTTTCCTATCAGTACTATTAGCAATTTTTAAGTATCATTTATAATACGTTTATCATTTGTGTATAGATTCGATAGTTGGCAGATGAGGTTGTAAAGTTAAGTAGGGTAATACTGAAAGGAAGAGAAACTGAATCATCATTTTTATTTGCTTTACTTTTTGCATGCTTCAGTTTGTTGTAATTAGTAGAGAATTATTAGACATTTGATGTGTTGGTTTATTTTGCAGCCCTGGCAGAAATTGTTAGCAAAAGAGAAAGAGCTGGTAGAGCAGAGTTCTATGTGCATTACATTGACTGTAAGTACCAGTGATGTCAATGTATCAATGCATCAATTTACCTCTATAAACTAGACAAGCTATCACAAAGACTGCTGGTAGTAGGCATTAAAGGCATTGAGTCATGGTAAATAGGCTTTCTCTATAGTGGTTCATTTGGTTTCGGCGTGATCACTGCTGTTGCATGTGATATTGGCATCCAGTGTTGACAACTTGCTATTGATGGAAATTGTTTTGTCAATCAGTACAAGGTGAGTTCATGTGACCAGTGCCAGGTCAACCAATAGCATTGCAGTCATGAAAATCATGACTCAGTGGATTTTGGCACTTAGGGTATACCCAATCCATTATATCATGACTCAATGCCTTTAAGTCAATAATAAAACTCAATTCAGTTTTTACTTGAAGTCTAATTATTGCTTGAGATAATTCTCATAGCTATTTGCACGCATTGGATAATTTGAGCGTGTGTAGCATGCAATTGCATGCCTCATATCACAATGACTGCCATATTTATATGAAATTTTGCAATCTAAAATTCAATGTTTACAGTTTTTAAAATGAAATGGAAAATTGAAACGTATTGCATTGTACTGTAGCACATTTGTTCTAGCATTGCTCAAAGTATGTGACAATATTTGTTTTCTTAAACATTTTGTGAGAAAACCTGACATCCTATCTGTAAATATTTGATAATCCAAATAAGTTATCGAAAATAAAAGCACCCTCCTCAGATTAACTCTAAAATAAGATTGAAGATTCAACTAACGACACAAAGCTTTTACTTTTCTTTCCCATCTAAACATGCTTGTATGCTTTCAATCTCGAAATTCTCTCTTTTTGTTTGGAAATACACAGTGGAATCCAGCTATTACGCACTAATATTCTAGTGTCTTGGATTCTGATATAACATTTATTCTATTGTAATTACTTCCTGTATAAAGAACCTATGGCGTAACGAACTTTCATTATTTTTCCATGAAGTGGCGATTTAGCGTCAAATAAATGAAATCATTGTCGATTTTATAGACAACAAACGACTGGATGAATGGGTAACTGTGAACCGACTTGATCTTTCCCGTGTACAGCCACCGAAAGCAGACGAAAAAAGAAAGTCCCAAGTTTCCACATCAGCCCCTTCTCCTGCGCAGCCTTTGCCTAAACAGCCAAGTCCTGGGAAAGCCAAGTCCCCGGAGAGAGAACCAGTTACTGTGAATGGCATACAGCCAAAGAAAGGAGCTGTCGCAGGAAGAAAGCGCAAGGCAAACGCGCTTCTTGATGAGGTTTTCTATTTGCTTAAATCATATGATTTCTCAGCAAAGGAAAAAAAGCAGAAACATTTGATGTCTATAAAAGCTTTTTCCCTTCAGTGTACACTGGAAATGTGAAAATAGAGATAATAACTGTTGATATCGTTAAGTTTTCAACTTTTAAACTATGATGTTATTGTTTTATGGCAAAAAGGCAGGTACATATTACAAAAGCAAGTTCCCTAATGTTAGATAGTTTTTTAACTGTTTGCTGGTACATGTGGGGGCTAAGTCTTCAAGTCAGCCAATCTTTGTTTTCGGATGTACTTTGAACATTTCCACATATGAACTCTAAATCATACTTAGGTCAGTCCATTTATAAACCTTGAATTGGCAAGCTCGAGTTTAGAAGACACAAGAATGTATTTTGAGACGCCATTGCCTAAATTGAAATTGTATTTCATATGTTCAGCGAGACTAGTTTTCAAAGTTGTCTTTGTTTCTTGCAAATACCAATTAATACCAATTTTAAAAATTATTTCCTTTATTGGGTATTAAGATGGATTAATATACTGATACGGTAGCTTCTAATGAAAGACTCAGCATAAACAGGTTGTACAAAACTTTTACT